TATACGCGGTGCTTTCGCCATTATACGCGGTGCTTTCGCCATTATACGCGGTGCTTTCACCATTATACGCGGTGGTTCGAGCATTATACGCGGTGCTTTCACCATTATACGCGGTACTTTCACCATTATACGCGGTGCTTCCAACATTATACGCGGTGCTTTCGTCATTATACGCAGTTAGCGTTACGCGCGGTGCTTTCACCATTATATGCGGTGGTTCGAGCATTATTATATGCGGTGGTTCGAGCATTATACGCGGTGGTTCGAGCATTATATGCGGTGGTTCGAGGATTATACGCGGTGCTTTCCATAGAGATTATAAATAACACTAGAGGAGGCATCGAGTTTAAAAATTGGGAACGCAGCTAATGGGGGGCAAATTCAAGTCCCGGATATAAAATCGTGCTCTCATTGGCTGATTTGAAACTCGTCACCAATGGGAACACGAATACATATCCGGGACTTGAATTTGCCCCCCAATAGTCGCGTTCCCTTTTTTTTACTGAATTAAGATTACAATGCCTCCTCTAGTGTTATTTATAATCTCTATGGTGCTTTCATCATTATACGCGGTGCTTTCGTCATTATACGCAATTAGCGTTACGCCCGGTGCTTTCACCATTATACGCGGTGGTTCGAGCATTATACGCGGTGGTTCGAGCATTATACGCGGTGGTTCGAGCATTATACGCGGTGGTTCGAGCATTATACGCGGTGCTTTCATCATTATACTCATTTGCATCACTATGTGGTAGTGAGCATCATTATGTGGTAGTGAGCCAGTATGTTTGGACAGCGGCTTAGAAAGAATATTTTATACTTCGTGTCTCGATCACATGTTGCATTTATATGTTTTGCGACGGCAAATTTTCGCAATATATTTAGAGTTTTTTGAGGGGAAAACACGTTTACTTCGAACACGATTAATGTTGAAAGAATGCTATTTAGTGTTATATTTTTTTTGTCATCGACGAAATACTTCGATCTCTGGGCATAGTTATAGAGGCAGTTTTTTTAAGTTTAGATATAGGTAATGAGAACCATATTGCCTATTGGTATCCTAGTAATAATTTTATGCCACAATAGTCCCCAAATGTTAGATCCAAAAGTGTAGTGTGAAATATGATAGTGCATGTGATGGCCTCGTGTTGTTGGCACAATGTATGCCTGTGAAAATTATGTTGAGATAAAACTGAGGAAAAACGACTTGTATTTGTATAAATATGAACCTAAGAAATATAAGTAGGCTACAGGTGTAGATTTATGAAACATAAAATTGGAGATGCATGTGGATCCATGTGTGATTGTAAAATTGTAACGGTAAAATATATCCTGTGGTGTAAAAAATATTTGATCTGCCCAAAAGGTATGATCGCGCTGAACTTAAAAAAGCGTGTATGGAAGCACATGTAAAATATATAAAGCGAGAGAAAGAAATAGTCACGTGCCGTAAAAGTCGGTATCCCTGTACGCGGCGTTTCGTCCTTCATGGAATGGTCAACAGGGATTCGGGGCTGGCGCATGTCATGTGAAGGATAGAATACAGAAATCGATTTGGATTACAGAGTGAATAAATATAAAATAGCAAAATATGTGCACGACTATTGTAAAATAAATGTAAAATATAAGGTGTCTTACCAAATTGGGCCATCGTTGCATGGGCCATGGTTGTACTGAATTACTAAGGGATGTAGTATAACTATAGAGTATATAGCGTTTATATATAGAGCGTCTTTCATTACGACAGGTAAGAAGAAACAGGCGATAGAGAATTTGTTATGCAGCTGTGTCGTTTACTGTCACTATTGACGACCGTTCAAGTACGGCGAAAACCTAAAACAATCGCATCGACTAGACTCAGAAACGCAACAATGCATCTATTAACAATTTAGCTATATTTTTTACATACTGGGTGTCCCCCAAAAAACTATACACTGTTTGAGTTCATGTAACGTAAAACCTATATTAAAAGCTATTTCACTAAAATGAAAACCATTCTATTCACAAAGGATTAACTTAGATTTTGATATACAACATTTAATTTTCCGTACGATATTGACTTCGTATTTAAAGTTCCGAGGAGTTTTAAAAATTGTCGAAAAAACGACAAAAATTGCCGCATCAGACTAAATTGAAAGCAGTTGTCACTTACATGGAATCTTTTTAACTTCAGTGATTTTATCTTTAATTTTAGGCTGTTCCCTTGCAAATTTACTTTTGAAATAAAAATTACACTTAAAGATTGATTCTTATTAGAATGAAATAAAAAAGTAATAATTTACGTTGATGTCCTTTGCATGGGCTAATTGTGATTCAAATTCGTAATGAAATACTGTAAACATTGTCGATTAGATTGTTGGATCAACAAATGATTCAAAACGCTTATGCATGATGGCATGATTTCTAGAGCATACACAACGGTTCATTCAGGCTCAAAGACACGCTTTTCCTGATGAGTAAACTCAATTAGTACATAAATTCATTCTTTTAGCAAGAATAAAAATTATCAACACGGCAAACTAAATTGGAATTTGATATGCCGTTTTATGCTAATTTTTAACCTTTTCAGAAATGGTAGTTCAATTTCAAAACGCCAATGGTCCAATAGCTCTGTCAACGCGCGGAAAATTAAATGTTATATACTGTGATTGTGATTTTTAATAAAAAACGTTTTGCAATCAGGGATTGAATTACACGTTTTTACATTATATGAAGTTAATTAAGATACATATTCAAAATAAGCTATATAAGAAAATATAAAATTATTAAAACGTTAATTTAAAACTACGAATAAGTTCTAATTGCATATGGGATAAAACTATTTCTAAACCGTTCAGTTTTAGCTTTAATATAATAGGTATAGTTTTTTGGGGACACCCGGTATATTGTTGATATTTTTTAATTATTTCGTTAAATATTACAACGCAGAGATTATAACGTATAAATATTCCGTATAATATTCAAAATATATAGACCATTCAGAGTTTGGGCCGCCTGTGGACTGATAACTAAATAAATATTAACCGCTGTCCAAACATACTGGCTCACTACCACATAATGATGCAAATTATGAATGCACCGCGTATAATGCTCGAACCACCGCGTATAATGATGTAAGCACCGCATATAATGGTGTAAGCACCGCATATAATGCCGAAAGCACCGCGTATAATGCTCGAACCACCGCGTATAATGCTAGAACCACCGCATATAATGGTGTAAGCACCGCATATAATGCCGAAAGCACCACGTATAATGCTCGAACCACCGCGTATAACGATTTAAGCACCGCGTATAATGCTCGAACCACCGCGTATAACGATTTAAGCACCGCGTATAATGCTCGAACCACCGCGTATAATGCTAGAACCACCGCGTATAATGGTGAAAGCACCGCGTATAATGGTGAAAGCACCGCGTATAATGGTGAAAGCACCGCGTATAATGCTCGAACCACCGCGTATAATGTTGAAAGCACCGCGTATAATGGTGAAAGCACCGCGTATAATGCTTGAACCACCGCGTATAATGCTAGAACCACCGCGTATAATGTTGAAAGCACCGCGTATAATGCTAGAACCACCGCGTATAATGGTGAAAACACCGCGTATAATGCGAAAAGCACCCAACAAAATGCCGTTTGATCACTTAAGACAGCTATGGCTTTCCATAGGTATGTATTCGCCAGTCGCGGTCTTTACTTTGACATTTCTCACCTGACCGTCTTTACCAGGGTAAACTTGTATTACACGACCAACACACCATTTTCCTCGTGCTGCGTTAGAATCAGCAATGATGACCATATCATCAACCCGGACATTTCTTCTTTGAGCATCCCACTTTCTTCTTGGTACCAATGATGGAAAAGTATCTCTTGTCCACCGCTTCCAGAACGAGTCAACAATCTTTGGACGTATTCTACTCTGTGCCTTGGGTTGTTCGTCTCTTTAAACGGACCTTGTGACACACGACTGGACGCCCTTCCTAAAAGCATGTCATTTGGGCAGAAATAGGACCCGTCGTCCGGATCATTAGGTGTCCTCCCGATAGGTCGTTGGTTCACCAAGTTTGAGACTTCTTGTAGCACTGTGTAAAGTTCGAAGGGCTTGAGTATTTGTTCTCCGATCGCTTTCTTCAGCGCCAACTTGCAGCTTTTAACCAGTGATTCCGCACATCCGTTATGATGTGGGGCTGCCGGCGTTATGAACTTCCAATCTACGCCTTTCTCTGCGCAATATTCTTGTAACTCTGTAGCTTTCCAACCTTCAATCATTTCCCGTAATTCTCGTTCCGCTCCCACCATTTGAGTACCATTGTCGCTTAGCAGTTTTGCCGGTTGTCCTCTTATAGCGAAAAATCTTCGAAGCACTTGAATAAACTCCACCGCGGAACAGTCAACGGCCAGCTCTAGGTGTACAGCTCTGGTGTTGAGACACGTGAACAGAACTCCGTAATGTTTTGCGGTCTTGTTTCGACCAACTTTAACTATGTATGGACCGAAATAGTCACACGAGGTTACGTAGAATGCGGGTGTTAACGGTGCCAAACGTTCAATCGGCAGGTTGGACATTAACTGGGTTTCGACTCTTTTGGCTATCTTTCGACAGGTCACACACTTGAATTTCACCGACTTCGCCAGATTATGAACCTTTTGGATCCAATACTTTACTCTCGTCTTTGCCACCGTGGTTGCTACTCCGTCGTGGCCTTGTTGATGTATGTGCCGAGTAAGAAGCAAAGATATCCAATGCTGATTGGGTAGTAATGCAGGGTGTTTCGTCTCGTATGAAACTATAGCCTCATCAACGCGTCCTCCAACTCTGATCACACCGTCACTAGTAACAAACGGACTCAATTTGGAATATTCTCCTTTCTTGAATTTTCCATGTAACTCTTGCTGTGCTTCTAGAATCCAAATGGTTTCTGCTTCATCAAGCTCTTGGGGGGTGAACGGACCACTACGTGTTTCAACATGGACGTCCTCGGTATTTCTTGACTTACACTTCGCTTTAAGATTCTTTATAAAGCGTAGAACATTGGCAGTGACTCGAAGCAACTTTCGCCAGCGCGAGAATTTCTTACAGTCGATTACTTTTCCCACCTTGAATATGGTTGGCACTTTCGCAACGTTGACGGCAACGGGCTTGCGATACTCTAGCAACTTTCTGGTTTCTTCATCTACCGTCTCTTTCTCATCGTTGGTTGTATCCAGTGGCCATTCGCTTTCAGGTAGATACAAGAATTCGGGACCTCGTTTCCATCGTCCTTCCAAACTTTCGACTTGTATACCACGAGAAACATCATCTGCTACATTGAGTTCCCCTGGGATATGATGCCATTCGCATGGATTACTTTTACTTTGAATCTCACCGACACGTACAGAGACAAATGGTTTAAACGCTCGAGACTGACTTCGAATCCAGATAAACACAATTTTACTGTCCGTAAAAAAGACACTTTTTCAAAAGGTATTCGAGATTCCGACTGTATTGACTTGTACAATCTTGCAGCTAATACGGCAGCTTGTAACTCTAATCTGGGAATGGACAACTCTTTGAGCGGTGCCACTCTTGACTTGGCTGCCACAAAGCGGACATCGTAACTTTTCTCGCCGATTTTCCATCTTACATATGCGCATGTCCCAAACGCTTCTCGTGATGCATCGGAGAAAATGCACAGGATTGCCGATCCAGAGACACTTCTAGGTGTTAGGCTTCGAGGGAAGGTTACTTCGTTTAATCTTTCAAACTGATCAAAGATTCGTTTCCATTCGTCACAAACTTCACGAGGCAGCTCTTTATCCCAGCCGTATCCTCCTTGCCATAAACGTTGCATCCCGATCTTCGCTTTGATTATGAATGCCGCAGCAATACCGACAGGATCATATATTTGAGCAATACAACTGAGAATTGTTCTTTTCGTGAGCTTAGTCTCTTGTCCCGATGTTGCCTTCAGCATGTCAGCTTTAATCTTGAAGGTTAGCCTGTCCGTCTTGTTGTTCCATGCTATACCGAGAATCTTCTCTGAACTTTCGCCTTGCAAGATCTTCATTTTTTCACATTCCTGTTGACTAGTATTATTGTCCAAATCTTCGTTTGATATCCAACCTTTCACGTTGAATCCACCACTTTCCAGGACCTGGTCAATATCTTTGGTCAGTTTACATGCTTCTTGTACTGTTGTTACCGAATCGCAGATGTCATCCATATAGGAGTTTTTCTTCAGTGAACTGGCTGCTTCGGGGTACACATCTTGATTTTCCTTAGCTGTTTTCCTTAGCGCAGTCTGTGCCATCGCAGGAGCTGGCTTGTCTCCGAATGTCAATACAGTCTTGACGTAGATATCAGGATCACGATCGACTTCCATATCCCTCCACAGAAAACGGTGAACATGCTGGTCGAGTTCAGGAATGAGTACCCGATGGTACATCTTCGAGATGTCCCCATGCATAGCCACTGGGTTTTCACGAAAGCGCAGAATTACCCCAAATAGGTTATTTAACAAGTCCGGTCCTTTTAGCCAATAATCGTTTAAACGATGACCTTGATAACTAGATGATGAATTGTACACTATTCGCAACGGGGTGCTTTTTTTCTCTGGTCTTATGATGGCATGGTGGCTAATGTAATGAACTGGGCCTTCGTACTCCTTTCCTTCTTTAGGTGAAATCTTTCGAGAGAAGTTCATATTCTCCATTTCTTTCATCTGTTCGCCATAGGCCTTAGCGTGTTCTGGTTTTCTGCTTAATCGCCGTTCAGTTGTTTCCAAACGTTTGATGGCTTGTTTCTTGTTATCCGGCAGCAGGGACGGATCACGTTTCCATGGATAGGGTATAATCCATTGATTCCCTGATTTGATGCACGATTCTTCGATCAATTTTGCTTCTTGTCGTTCAGCTTGACTTAACTTTTCTCCTTCACATGAACAGGACTGCACTTCGACACCCATGCACTCGGTTGACCAAAACTCATTCATCTCGATTGGGCCAGATAGTCCAACTCGTAACACTTTATTGCTTGCAGCTGGATCACTTTGAGTTGCGCCAAATACTATCCATCCTAAGGGAGAATGACGGGCGACCATATTGCCAACTTGCTTTATTTCACCGGTATGCATGGTAGCATGATCTATACCAATTAATACATCCAGTTTGCCACTTCCTCGATTTAACGTGTTTCTTTTCAGGCCAAAATACTTTTCCATTTCTTCCACTTCAACTTCGGTGATTTCATCACTTATACAAGGAATTCCAATTGCATTTACGGTGAAAACACTGTTGTTCTCCATTGATCTGATCGGAACTGTGAATAACTTCGTTGTCATCTCCTCTTCTTGCCCCCCAACTGTCGTCATTGTGATGGAAACATCCTTTCCCTTTAGCTTCAATCGCTGCGCCAAATCATTTCTCACAAGGCTGATTTGTGCACCAGAGTCCGTGAGTTCGCTTTCTCACGTTTGCCATTGTTGCCGAGAACAAAGGCTGAGACAACTGGTAGTAATGCTTCTTTGGTCTTTACTGTTGAAGCCAGCATACCGATAAGGTTTGTAGCTGCATGTAAGTCTGTAAGAAGGGATGGTGGTTTTTGTTGCATGATGCGTTGTTGACCATTTCAGAACATGGACGCTTTCGACTACAGTTGGCTGCACGATGATCTCTTCCAGCTTTCTTGAGGCAACTGTAACATGCATGGTTCTCCTTGACTAGCTTCAAACGCTCATTCGGAGACATTGAGATGAACTTCTTACATTGATCTACCCAATGGTCAGAGCTTGGGCATATCCAACACTTTGCTTTGGTACCTCCAGAAACTTGATTGACCCGAAACTTGTCCGGTGCTCTTACGGGTGCAGCTGCTCGCATTCTGGACTTCATTTCTCCATTCATCCAATCGATTAAATCTGATAACTTTGGTTGGATTTTCTCTTTCTCGAGATGGCGTACCCATGTCTTTCGGTCTTCACCACACATTCTCTGCTCAATAATCGCTAGCATGTGATTATTGTCCATATCATGTGGACGGTCAACTTCTTTCAAGGTATTGAAACTTCTTTGCACCAAATGCACCAACTCGCAGAAACGATGATCTTCTTCACTCTTCAACGGTTTGAATCGCACAATATCTTGGGTTATTGTGTCACTCACAAATCGAGGGTCCCCATACACAGAGTCCAAATAGTCCCAGGCAGCAGTGTAATCTGATCCGATGCCTTTAATCATTTCTAACGGTTTTCCAGTAAGCGCAGTACGTAAAAGTGTAATTGCATCTCGGTTGCTGTATTTTGTTCCGATAATATGTTTAAAATCCGATTTGAATATTGCGTATTGTAAAAAATGTACTGGTAGATTCATTTTACGTCGTTTTAAATCATGTTTTAGTGCTTTTTTTTACTCAGTTTTGGAAATTTAAAAAACCCGCGTTCATTTCGTTACGTGAAAAGACTGGGCATGACAACAGTGGGCATGCCTGGGCCATTGAACTATAAATAAACTGGAAGGCTAACTCAGGGGGGGAAATTGAAGCCAGTGCATTTTAGTTTTTCTGAGTTATGAGCAGAAATACTGAACACTGAACGTTGGGCTATATATCAAATTGAAGCTCTTGAAAAACGCTATTTGGTGTAGAAATTTCAAGACTTTAGCTAAAAGGGAAATATTGAAAAACTACAAACATAATTACCGATAATTTGCCATTTTGCAGTTGTTTTTGTATTTTTTAAATATTTTTCTTTTCGCTGAAGTCTTGAAATTTCCACACCGAATAGCAATTTTCAATAGCTTCAATTTGATATATTGCCCGACGTTTGGGGTCAAGTATTTCTGCTCATAACTCAGAAAAACTATTTTGGCTTCATCAAATCATAGGCCTTCATCATAGCAGTTAGCCTTCCAGTTTATTTATAGTTCAATGGCCTGGGCATGGCTTCACATTTCCGGCTGGAGGTATCGTTCCAGTTATTTTTAGTTCAATGAACAGGTGGGCAATTTGTCTGCGCATGCGCGAAGAAAATCAATATGGCGAAATATATTAGGAGTGTTTCGTGAATTTATCTGGTTTTAAGCTGATAAAACAACATTTTAATGAACGCAAACTTTGTAATATTTAGTGGAAAACATTAAGCTATGCATTCCAAAGGTTTTAAATTGAAAATAAGTACTTCTGCTGTATTTTATTGCTTTTTATGCTTTGAAAACAGGCAAGCTCATTTTTTTACAAAAATGTAATCTATTATTTTACCCATCATTTGTTTAATCTGAACAGAAATAGATAGAACACTTGGCTATATAAGTTACAAAGGTATTGTTAGCTGATCTGAAAAATTTCAGTATTCCTGGTACACATTTTAACAAAGAATAAAATGTAATTTCAAAAATTAAATATGCATATCAAAAACAATAGTTTTTATTAGAACAACATATAATAAGTTGTTATTTTCTATTTTTACAAAAACAAGTTTGGAAACAGGATTTAGCCCTCCAGCTTGATGTCATATTCCATTTATTTGGATATTTCAATAAAGAATGTGAAATAATAATTCAATCTTGTGCAAAATTTGATACTAACACACATGTAAACAGATATTATCACCTAAAAATAAAAGAAAACAGAACTTAAATTTATCATCTAATGCTATGAAAAAAATCTTAGATACTACAGGCATATAGTGAGCACAATTCTTTGACAATCTCACTAAAATAAGTTCAGTTATGCTATGATAAG